GGGGGGGGGGGGGGGGGGGGCAAAAAATTTTCTCAGGCTAGACCGCCCCCCAAATAGCATTCATGACAATTTAGATAGATTTGGAATTTGAAGTGAAAAAGGGGGCGATCTCATTGCAATCAGCGTCGGTGAGGCAAAAAATCTCTGTAGGTATGACATTTTATGGAGATATAACTTTTTTACTTTTATACGAATGGGGAGAAACTTTTGCATTTTTTGTAAAATTGCATAGTTTTTTATGCAAAAATTAAGAATAGGAAAATTATGTACTATGAGGTGTCATATTTTTTTTCTACAAAAAAAGCAAACGGGAATAAAAAAGTGTATTATGAAAAGTTTTTATTTGGAAGGAAAAAATGTCTCTTGCCTTTCGCGTGAAAATAGCAGTGATAAAAAAAAAAAAAAAATGAGTCTGGGATTCAGGATCTAGCTTTGCAGGATCGCAGGGGGGCTGGATTAAGGGTGGTGCAAGGAGGATAGCTGGACTAGANATATTAAGAAATTATCCACTAATCAATCTAATTTTAAGGTTTTGATCAGTTTTTGTTGATGTTGTTGTTTTTGGATGACAGACATCGGAGGATTCCTTATCCTTATCCCTCAATATCGTTCGTTTGAGTGCACTCGTTTCGGCCTCCATGGCCAGCCAAGGCCGGCTGCCAGTCAGCTGATAATCGAGTTGTCTTAACTCTGGGTTATAAAGGGACTCTAGGTATAAAGGGACTCTAAGCTGGACTAGGCACCATCTTACCTTCTGATGATGAATGAAGTGAGAAGGCTGAAGACTGAATATTGGTCGTGGGTATAAAGAAATTTCCTAACTTTTTTCGGAAAAAATATTTAATTTGGAGAAACGAGGCAACGTTGAAATGCTCATACGACGTCTAAACACAAACCTTTTAAGCTATATTATTCGATGCCGCAATTATTATTCTAACGCGAGTTTGAATAATCGCGCCAAACACAGTGCGGCCGGCGTTAAACGTATATTAGCGCCTGCAAGACTCTGGGAATACTTCACGCATTTCGCCAAACAGTGCAGTCGGCCTACGGCCCATATTAGCGCCTACAAGACTACATGAATACTTCTCGCATTGCGCCAAAAGCAGTGCAGTCGGTCAGTTGGCGTGAAACGCATTTTTGCGCTTACGAGACTGACGAAATGCTGTAGGACTGCGTGTCATCATTCTTGACTTTCTGCTCCAGTTTTTACCATGATTAAAGGGCAAATAAGTATCCTCATTAAAAGGATTCAGAAACTAGATGATATTTAATTTTCTTTTTTGGTACATTGAAAGAAAATAGAACGAACGAAAATATCGCGTCGAAATTTTCGATACCTACTTTTTTGTAAAGATTATTTAGGTAAAGTCGCTAAAACTTTTCTGAAAAACTAAGTGTAGCTCTTTAAAAATATTTATTTAATACAAAACATAAATGTTGTGCCTAACGTTGCAATCAGAGATAAATACACGCAATTTTTCGGGTACATCCGTCGGGTTTTGAATCCATTTATCTCTCGAGCGACTTGAACATGGTTTTTCTAAGATTTTTTACTCGAAGTTGCCAGCCGCGAAGCGGCCGCAGGCCCCGCGAGCTCACAATTAAATGTCTATGAAAGCTCTCTGAGCCATTCGTGCTCCGGGGGCTATCCATAGAGGAGAGACACTCCCGTAAGTAAGGAGGGAATGAACTGTCTTCCGCGATGTAGTTATCTACGAAAAACTACCAAGGTTGCCAGATTAACGCTTCCTCGTTGAATATTGAGTATTCGCGGAAACATGTGTTTCCATTAACCAGAAAAATTCGCGCAATCCTAAGTAACTCCAAAATGGTAAAAAAAGAGCCATTCGTGCAATCCTATCGCAGCCCGGTGTCGGGCTGTTTTCTCAATTACATATCTTAAATCGTTTAATGTGTGGTACTGCGGGGTTTAATAGAGAATGGATCTTAAGGAAAGGCTATGAGGGACTTCGAAACCATACAAGATCCCATTCCTGCAGGAGTACATTCTACAATACATTCCTTATTCAACTACCCGTGCCAAACGTCATCTGACCTAAAATAACCGAAAAAAACCCCTCACGCAGGTGGTCTGAGACACCCTGTATACACTTTGTAACGCTGTATCACGAATGATCGCTAATGTGTCATCAACAGTTTTGATCGCGGGTGGCATCAGCTGATGATATTGTGCCTTGTAAAATAATAATAATAATAAAAAAAAAAAAAAAAAAAAAAAAAAAAAAAACTTTGAATGTAGTTGTTTTTAAAGAGGAAAATCTCAAAATATGCAATAAGTAATCTTAAAATAGCAGAATCTTAAATAAGCATTTTAATGAGCACACTTTTTCAATTAAGTTTTAAATGTCACGTAGGTTGATTACGTCGGGGCGGAGCATTATCTCAGTCAACATAAGCAACGCACCCAATGACGGTGCTCCTAACGCCTTGAGTAATACAACTATTCGTACTCTATGGACACGCGTGTTGCATACAAAAAAATGGAAGGCGCTCCGCTCACATGTAGACCTTGAGGCAGAGCACTCAGCAGCGTGTACTGCCGTGATAGCGAAGAGAGAAGTAAGTGCCTCTCTGTATGAGCCATGATTAGCATATGCTTTTATATGTCTCGAGGTTTATCCTAGCATGCACTTACTGCTGTTTTCACTATCACGGCAGTTAAGCAAGTTGCTGCGAATACGTGGAAAGATGATATTTTTCGACAAAAAATCAGGCATTAAGACAGGAAAGAACATTTTCGCAACTTAGGAATTAGGATATTGATTCCCGCCGCCACACTGACCATGAGTCGTGACAGCGTGTCGCTGCGAGCACTACTTCATAGGGTAGAATAACCGGAGCGCCTTCAATGTTTATTAACGCAACGCGGATGTCCATAAAACACGAATAGATGTATTAATGCGTTTATTGCTGATATTATTGTGCTACACTTGGATATCAATACTAAATCTTAAAGGAAAAATGGCAGATGAACGCTCTAGCGCTGCCAAATCTCCTTCGATTAAATGAAAATTTCCTGAAAAACTTGCGAGCTCTTGATTTCTGCAGTTTTAGAGTATTCGTTGCACAATTTAAGGAGAGTTCGTAAATTACGTAACGCATTTTTGACTCCTCTTCCCCCTTGTAATACTTTTGTCACGTAAACCCGGATCCCACCTGAAGATCTAAAAAATTTCGGGAAACTATTAAATATATAACTGGATAATATTTGAAGTATTATTAATGTTGGTGTGAAAAACAACGTCGAAGATATGGGGATGATATGTACTTCGGATTTTGCGTGTTTTTTTACCAGTGGATTGAACGGTTTTTAAGTAACCGTTTTATATATAGCCATTGAAAAAAATAATTATGACGGAATATATACTGAAATTTGGTAGCGGAGATTTGCGTTTTTTTTATTTAACTCAACAGTATTTCTCAAATCATGAGTATTTGAACTCGAAACAGCAACGACATATCAATTCCCATTAAATTTAGTTATATTTTTTTGTGTATTTTCCTGGATTACATTTTTTTTTTTTTTTTTTTTTTTTTTTTTTTTTTTTTTTTTTTTTTTTTTTTAAATTTAATTGCTGAGTCGCTGATGAAGTTTCATGTTTTAATCCATTGCCTCAAAGAAAATGCGTCACACCGGTGCCAGAAATCACTTTTTATCAAGATTCGATTTATTATTTAGGATGGTTTATCCACGCAACTGTAAACGGCTATTTCTGGGTTAAACAAACAAACCGAGTTCACCGCTATGTTGGCAGAGCAAAGAAAACCCCGAAAGAAGGGAATCACAAAGCCTTTTGTCGCCGCACGACCCTAATCTCGTGCAATCCACTCGAGATTTAAAAAGATCGACGGCTCAAGTCAGAAAATGCGTACCGTGCAATGTTAACATTTTTGATAATATTTTATTTTTAGATAGGAACCTTATCGAGGCACCTCCTTGATATTGAGGCGTTAGGTGCAGAAAGGGCATTTCTCGTTTACGGTGTCTCAGAATCTCCAGTGCTAATTTTTCCTTTAGAGAGGAAATTATTGGGTGAATTTTCTGAAATTTTAGGTTTCGAGAATTGTAAAATCATAAAGAATATCACAGTCACAACGAATTCAATCCAACTCGACGGTGAAAGTACCAGACCACGTATCTCGGTTCGCGGCGCTGCTGTAGACTTCCTGTCCTACTACTCAAAACTACCTTGTATTTTTTTCTCTGTGCGGGAAAAACTCAGCGATAATTATTTCAAGAAATTATATTGCTTTGTTCCTCCTCAAAAAAATAAAAAAGGAGCGGAGATTTTTAAACACCGCAAACAAGATACGTGGTCTGGTAGTTTCACCATCGATTTACTTTCATTATAAGGGATGAAACTTTAGCGGAGATTTCCAGACACCGCAACTAAGAAATGCCCTTCCTGCACCCAGCACTTCAATTTCCATCTAT